TAGAATGGCATTAGAATGGTATTAGCTCAAAATACAAGGCAATACCTCCTGGGTTCGAATCCGTCAGCTGTTTTTTGTTTTAGTCAGTCAGTTTTTAGGTTAAATTAATGTTCCTTATCTCCGCACACAATCGTACAGCATTTGGCACACTACAAATACAGATAGGGATACAGATAGGGACCATTCGTCATTCGAAAAATGAATGAAACTTTTCCCAAAAATTTTTCTCCGAAAATCAGGTGCAGGATTCGAACCCGGGAGGTGTCGCCTTGAATTCTAACCGCATACCACTCGGCCACCGCTGCAATCCTTTCCGGCCTGCAAAAGTCCGGTTTTAAAGGCTATGTTTGATTTTTAAAACTTTGACGGAGTGCAAAAACGAAAGCCTAAGCATAAGGTCCTAACTTGGCGGCAGGGATAGAGTGCAGGCCTGGCTCAGTGGTAGAGCGCTCGGCCAGTGAGCGGGAGATCGCGGGTTCGACTCCCGGCGCGTCCAACTAGTTTTTTAATCTATCTAATTTTTAATCTATTTAGTGTTCACGCTGCTTGGGCACAAATCGCTTTCGGTTGGTCATCGGCTGAAACAGTTGTCCAGATGACAAAGGCGAAAATCATTTTGGGAAGCGTTTCCGTGGGAATCACGCTTTTCCTCTTCAAGTTCAGCAAAAAGTGAGCAGCTTTTTGGATAGTTGAAAAGATGATCTAAAATTCTAGAGTCGGTGATCATTTGGTGCTCTTGATTTGCTCGATTTTCATGCTCGGTTATTTCTTTATCACGTATCCTCTTTCACCGCTCACCGTCTCCACAACTGCGCCATTTAATGGTTGGTTTTGAATACAGAATACAGTAGCAATATAGCTTTCTGTTAGTTATAAAAGATAATCAAGGGTTATTCAAAGCTGTAAGACCAAGTCTGGCTTTAATCCAGGTTTTGAGCTTTTGAAACATCACTAACATCATTATCGGATATTTGATCCATTAGAATGAAATTGATAAAAGATTGGATAAAAGTCTGCTTTAAGAATGGATACCGTATTTGTTTTGGTATTCTAAATGTGCCTAATGCTTTAAAAGCTCAGATTCTGGCCCCGCCCCTTTTCCCATTAGCAATCTAACTTTAATCTCAAATTTCTTGGCGTTGGGTTGTTCGATTTAAATGTTCTTGATATCATTAAATGTGCCAAGTCTTTCTCTATCGATTGGGATCAAAAATGTTTAAATTGGAAAACCCAACATTGAGAAATTTGAGCTCAAAGTTAGATTGCTAATGGCAAAGGGAGCGTATAAAAGATCTTTCTAGCCCCGCCCCTTTTACCAATCCAACTTTGAGCTTAAATTTCTTGGCTTTGGGCTGTCCAATTCAAACAGTTTTTATATCAATCGATAGAGAAAGACTTGGCGCATTTAATGATATCAAGAACATTTAAATTGAACAGCCCAATACCAAGAAATTTGAGCTCCAAGTTAGATTGCTAATGGGAAAAGGGGCGGGGCTAGAAAGATCTTTTATACGCGCCCCTCCTCTTTGCCATTGGCAGTCCAACTTTGAGCTTAAATTTCTTGGCTTTGGGCTGTCCAATTCAAACACTTTTTATATCAATCGATAGAGAAAGACTTGGCCTATCTAATGATATCAAGAACATTTAAATCGAACAACCCAACGCCAAGAAATTTGAGCTCGAAGTTGGATTGCTAATGGGAAAAGGGGCGGGCCAGAATCTGAGTTTTTAAAGCATTAGGCACATTTAGAATACCAAATCAAACACGGTATTCATTCTTAAAGCACTTTTAAGCACTTAAAGCATTTTTATCCAATCTTTTATCAATTTCATTCTAATTTCAGCGTCCACTCACGGCGGTTGCAACGAATCCGAATACAGCTGGTGTGGGGCTCGAGTCGGAAACCCTGATTTATGGGTTTATTCGTCGGTAAGCAAGGGTTTTTCTGTAAAAAACGATTAAAGATTTAGGTGACCGTGATTATAATCATTGCTCAAGTTGGATTGATTTCCTCGGATGCAATCTTTTCGAACTTCTTAGAAAAAATTGATCAGGTTTAGTGGAAAGGGAGAGAAATCCGCAGAGAAATCCGCAAAATGCACAAAAAAACAAAACAAAACAACAAAACAAAGCACAGAATCTATTTGCTCAAGGCTCTAAGTGCTCAAAGCTCTAAGTGCTCAAAGCTCTAAGTGCTCAAAGCTCTAAGTGATTCAAAAGACTCAGATCAAAAGACTTGTTCTAAATGTTCCCGATTTCATTACAGAACATGATGCAAGGGATGGTCGTTCTTTTCAGTGACGGTGTCCAAATGACTGCATCGATGTACTCGGCGTAAGTGCTTTTACAAAAGTCAAAAGCTCAAAGCCACTTTCTTTCAGTGATATGTTCACTGCTTGGGGCCTTGAGCCATTATGGATTCTCAATGTCGCTCTCGCAGCTATCATTTTGCTCATCTCAATCGTTTATTTCAAAAGATTCCGATGGAAAACAGAATGAGAAGACGATTGTTTTGAAGAAAAGAAGATTGTTTTGCGCAAAATAAAGGCTCTAAATTGATGAAAAGTTATCCAATCAAATATAAATCTACCATAAAGACTCTAATAGAAGCCCCCTATCGGAGTTGAAGTTTACTCTCAAACAAACGCACAGATCTTGACACCAGTACGTTTATTTCAGCGGGCTGAGATATCAAATTAAAGTAGAGAGAATGGGTGATTTTTTGAGATATAACACAGATTTTTAGCATTAACCAGCGCTTAGAAAAAAATGATTGAAAAGTGGCAAAAAAACGCCGATTTTTTTCATCAGTTTTTCATCATTTTTCAATCATTTTTTCTAAGCGTTGGTTAATGCTAAAAATCTGTGTTATATCTCAAAAAATCACCCATCCTCTCTACTTTAATTTGAAACCCAGGCGCATAGAAAAAAATGTACTGAGGTCGAGATCTGAGCGTTTGTTTGAGAGTAAACTTCGACTACGCGACGCGACGATAGGGGGACTTCTATTAGAGTTTTTACGGGATATCACCTTTTCTATGCAATCCGAATGTGGTAAACGATTAACAAAAGGACAAAATGGTGAAGATTAACAATACTAACAATATTAACAAACAATAAATAACAATAACACCATAGAGAGTCGATCTAGAGACTTTTCAGAAAATGCAAACACGAATTTGCATATCTTTTACTGCATTTACATTTAGGAACTTACAAAATACGATTTCCATTTCTGTTGCTTGCCGATTTACATTTCTGTTTCTGTTATTTACCGTATTTATTCTAATAGAAGAGCAGCCTTTAATAGAATTGATTGACTCCTCAAAAACAGGACTTTTCAGGACTTCTTTTTAGCTAAAGTTCTTGATATGACTTCAGATAGGTGTTTAACTTTAACTTTAGCTTTAACTTTAACTTTACCAGTAAAATTGAGCTTCTATTAAAGCTCCTTATCTACTTTTTCGATCAGCCGATTTTAGGAGATTGAAAAATAAAAGAAAATTGTCTTTTATTAGGATAAATACGGCAAATTGCGGTAATTTGCGTGGGTAAAAGTCACAAGAACCAAGAGAAATCAAGTCACAAGACGTTCATGTGGTTAATTTTGCTGTAGGTTAATCTTTTGCTGTAGATTAGTCGATAAGCTGTAGGTTAATTTGAAAAAGTAAAAACGTGCCACGTGTCGCTGACTGGTTAAGTGTCTTTTATCTTAATCGGAAGTTGTCTTTTATCTTCATCGAGGGTTCGAACCCCGCGTGCGATTGTCACGCCCTTCGGATTTCCTTTCCCTTCGGGTTGAGAGGTTTTCTGGAGGGTGGTCTGGTGGTTGTGACCCCAGTAGGGTAGTCTGGTGGTTGTGGCCCCAGTTCTTTGACAAGTGACAAGCCACTCCTTCATCGTCATCTTCTCTCCACCACCAGAAAAAGCTATTTAGTTCCCCACTAAGCTTAGGGTTAGGGAGCCGCCTGTCATGGCGTGGGTTAAGTTAAGATATAGCCTAGTATTGTGTGTGTTGTTGTATTTTGATTGATGTATATCGTAAATAAACCACATCCGGGTGTCCCCGGTGACTTCAGATAGAAAGATGACTTAAATATGACTTCAGATAGAAAGATGACTTAAAGATGACTTCAGATAGATGTTTAACTTTAACTTTAACTTTAAATTTAACTTTACCAATCAAATTGAGCTTCTATTAAAGTTATCGTTATCTACTTTTTCGATCAGCCGATTCTAGGAGATTGAAAAATAAAAGAAAATTGTCTTTTATTAGGATAAATACGGTAAATTGCGGTAATTTGCGTGGGTAAAAGCCACAAGAACCAAGAGAAATCAAGTCACAAGACGTCCATCTCGTTCTAATCGATAAGCTGTAGGTAAATAAAAAGTCCCAAGTAAAAACGTAAATCCAAATGCCAAATGCTATGTCTTAACTTAAGACATAGCATTTGGCATTTGGATTTAGGTGGATTAAGCCATGACAGGCAGCTCCCTAAGCTCCACCAACCCTAAGCTTAGTTAGCTAACTAAATAGCTTTTTCTGGTGGTGGAGAGAAGATGACGATTCACAGGAGGAAATGCCGAACTCAGAAACAAAGAAAGCAACGAACTAAGAAAGCAACGAAGCAGAAACACGCAACGATCTTTCAATTCAATTGGTTTCAGTTGACTTGCTTGTTTGTAAACTTAAAGATTTCACTCCGCGCTTCTAGATTTTTCAATTTTCAAAGCTTTAAACCCAAACCGATCCATTCCTTGGAAAATTCGTCTGATGCAAACCGCGAAAATGTATCCAAAAGACGGGCCGGTCTTTCTTCTTCGCGTAAAAGTGATAACTTTTTTTTATTTCACTCGTTACCCCGACACTCTCTCGGTTACATCAAAAACATTTTTTTTTTCTGACTTTCCACTTGGATTGCATAAAAGCGAGAATTGTGAAAGATAAGGCGATTTTTTTCTGGTTACACCAAAATTCGATGAATATTCGAGAAGTGAGATGTGGCTGCAATTGATTACATGTGAGTGATCTAATAGAGATATAATAGAGATCTGATAGAGATTTTTTAGTGGTCTAATAGTGATCTAGTAGAGGTCTAATAGAGATCTAATAGTGATCTAGAGCTCTAATAGAGATCTAGTAGTGATCTAGTAGAGATCTAGAGCTCTAATAGTGATCTCAGAGATCTAGAGATATAATAGAGGTCTATTAGTGATCTAATAGTGATCTCGTAGAGATCTAATCGATGTCTAGTAGAGATCTAGAGCTCTAATAGAGATCTAGTAGTGATCTAGAGCTCTAATAGAAATCTAGAGCTCTAATAGTGATCTCAGAGATCTAGAAATCTAATAGAGGTCTATTAGGGATCTAGTAGTGATCTAGTAGAGATCTAGAGCTCTAATAGTGATCTAGAGCTCTAACAGTGATCTAGTAGAGCTCTAATAGTGATCTAGAGCCCTAACAGTGATCTAGTAGAGATCTAGAGCTCTAACAGTGATCTAGTAGAGCTCTAATAGTGATCTCAGAGATCTAGAGATATAATAGAGCTCTATTAGTGATCTAATAGTGATCTAATAGAGATCTAATAGATGTCTAGTAGAGATCTAGAGCTCTAATAGAGATCTAGCAGAGATCTAGAGCTCTAACAGTGATCTAGTAGAGCTCTAATAGTGATCTAGAGCCCTAACAGTGATCTAGTAGAGATCTAGAGCTCTAACAGTGATCTAGTAGAGCTCTAATAGTGATCTAGAGCTCTAATAGAGATCTAGAGCTCTAATAGTGATCTCAGAGATCTAGAGATCTAATAGAGCTCTATTAGTGATCTAATAGTGATCTAATAGAGATCAAAAAGTTTCGATTTTCTCAATTTACTCCAAAACGTCAAAGACTTTAGGTGAAAATGAAGACTTTTAGCTAAACTTGTACAGGTTTCCCTTCGTTTTTCTAGACCTGGATTTCCCCGTAAGATTACGAGATTTTTATCGACTTTTATAGATAAATTGAAGCCTATGCTTGTTACTTGTTATTCAATTTCTCACTTTTACTCGTTATATTTCTTTTGTTTAGTTGCCATATTCGCCTATGGATTGGCGAAATTTTTGCTCATGCTCCGCCTTGGTCAACTTCAACGAAAAACCGTTGCGATATCGGGTAAAGATTAAAATTAAATTTTAAAGTAATCCTCTAAAGTAATGCGTTTTTCTAAAAAGGCATCTATTTAAGGAAAAAGAAAAGCCCGTAGCTAGCCCGTAGCTAGCCCGTAGCTAGCCCGTAGCTAGCCCGTAGCTAGCCCGTAGTTAGCCCGTAGCTAGCCGTAGCTAGTTAAAACTCTAATTTTCATTTAATTACCCAATTTTTGTATCATTTGATGAGGAATTAAAAGAAATTTCAAAAATTTCATTCAATAATACCAAAAATCTGATTGCTCGAATGGAAACGATTCGACTAACGATTCGACTACGCTAGTTTTAGAGAAAAACCTTTTAGAAAACGAGCATTACTCGAGAGGAAAAGAAACTAGTAAAGTAAAGACGGAATAGGCTAATTTTCGCCATTTTATTTCCACAACAGGGCAACACAAAAGGCCTTTTGCGTAACTCGCCATAACTTTCTTCTAAGTCGACCAATCTTTATGATTTTGGTTTCATTTTGTTCTACTTATTGAGATCTACAAAATGAAACCAAAATCATAAAGATTGGCTTATTTAGGAGAAAGTTATGGCGCAAAGCCAGTTGCTTTGACGCAAAGTAGCCACCGCCGGATTACTGTGGGTTTAACTCAACATAGCTTCCTTCTAAATGAGCGAATCTTTATGATTTTGGTGTCATCTTGTTCTACTTATTGAGATCTACAAAATGAAACCAAAATCATAAAGATTGGTCGACTTAGAATAAAGTTATGACGAGTTGTGCAAATAAAATGGCGAAACATAGCAGCCTACCGCGTAAAGATGTTTCCTGAACACTCTAGTAAAGTAAAGTACTAGTAAAGTACTAGTAAAGTAAAGACTAGTAAAGATTCATCTGCCCTAAGCACTAAGTATATCAAAATTTCGATTGCTTAAAGTCGAATTTCTTTCTTAAAGTCTAATTCCCCTAGGCTGTGACACCGGTTTCGGGCACTTGTTGGCGTTGCGTTTAAACTCGTTGGGTGTACCGGTGGTTGCCGGGTGTTTCTCCGAAAAGGTACGGTGAAATGAATTATTTCTCTTGCTCAAACAAAAGCTCAGGGTGAAGAAGAGTTGAAAAAAAAAGCGACACGTGCAAAGCTTCTCTACACTCATCCGCTTGATGTCACCTCAAATGAGAGCGTCGAGAAATTCGCCGATTTCACGCGGAAAGTCACTGGTGGACGGGGTGAATTGAACAATTTTGAATTTATTAGAATTTATTAGAAATTAGAATTTATAATCGATATTATTGAATACTTTTTATAAGTTATCTTTAAATTTCCAGAGATTTAATCTAGAGGCTTGGATTGGCTGGTTGGCTGGCATAGATTGGCTGGTTTAGATTGGCTGGCTTATGTTGGCTGGCTTAGATTGGCTGGTTTAGATTGGCTGGCTTATGTTGGCTGGCTTAGATTGGCTGGCTTATGTTGGCTGGCTTAGATTGGCTAGCTTAGATTGGCTGGTTTAGATTGGCTGGCTTATGTTGGCTGGCATAGATTGGCTGGCTTATGTTGGCTGGCATAGATTGGCTGGCTTAGATTGGCTGGCATAGATTGGCTGGCTTAGATTGGCTAGCTTAGATTGGCTGGCTTAGATTGGCTAGCTTAGATTCAATCTAGAGCCAGTTCTACTATATCTTTAAATCTTTAGGCCTTTGGGGAATCGTGTGCAACGCTGGGATTCTCGGGTATTCGGGTCCAGACGATTGGCTAAAAGCTGAAGACTATATGCATGTTGGTTTTAGAAAGAGAAAGAGAAAGAGAAAGCTTGAAATCAAATTCATCTCAGCTCAGCAAAAATCTTTTTTCTTTTGGTTGTAATTGATTTGTTTCAAAACTTTGCAGACAATGTCAGTGAACACATTCGGCGTAATGCGCTTTGTGCAGAAGTTGAGGAAATTCGTCAAGGTTTTTCATTTTTTGCTTTGTTAGAAGATAGAAAACCTCTTAAACCAATCACTCAAAACTCTCAGATTCAACGCGGTCGAATCGTGATCATCTCATCGATTTCCGGGCGAACACCCAGGCCGATGGTTGGACCGTATTGTGTGTCAAAGCACGCCGTCGAAGCCTACGCCGATGTGATCAGGTTGACACTACGTTGAACGACGTTGAACTAAACGTTGCTATTTTATTGAAAGCTTCAAAATAGATACTATTTACCGTACTAGAATACTAGAATTGCTCAAGCATAGGCTAAACAATTCTAATCTCTTTGCCTTTATGTTTCTTTTTTTTCTTTCAGACATGAAATGAAAGATTTCGGTGTCTCAGTTCACATCTTGGAGCCGGGTTTCTTCACCACGAACATCACTCAAACAGCCACAAATGATCTTGATAAGGTATTCCGTTTGAATCGCTAGATTTGATTTTATCAAAGAATTTCTAGGTATGGACAAGGCTCGATGATGAGACACGACATGATTTCGGAAGAGATTATTTTGATAAATGTGAGTCGAACAGAAGTTTTTCGATTACTATACTATAGAAAATCAAATCCCAGATAAACATGCAAGATTTTCGCGGCTTTCCCATTGCTCGGATGACCTGAACGCGGTTGTGGACGCATATGAGCATGCTCTTCTTTCGAGGTGATTAGAAATAGTTTACAGAGTTGGCATTGATCGGCGTAAACATCCATTCATTAGTGTAGAATCGTGGAGATGATGAAAACCTAGTACCAAAATGCACGTCCATAAAGTTTAACTGCATACCTTTTAACCTGATTATTGAAAATCTGTTTGTTTTGATATCTATCTTACCTTTAACCAACTTTTCAGATTCCCAAAGAGCCGTTATTGGGTCGGCTTGGACACGATCTTCTTCTATATTCCCCTCGCAACTTTGCCGACTTTCCTCCAAGATTGGGTGATCACTTTTCAGCGAAAAGGAAGCCCATCCCACTCTCAATGCGAAACTGAAAAACCTATACTTTTTACTCTCCGATAAAGCTTTATACAATCAAAAAATCCCGTAAAAATAAAACAAAAACCCGATAAAATAAATACAGATTTACGAAGATTCAATGCGCAAAATATATCACAGGCGAGGTAGGAAAGAATTTAACATATGACAAGTTACAGTCTAACAAACAACAAACACTATTCGAATTTTATTTTCCTCTTTATTTCTCGTTCCTCATAAATATGTTGTCGAGTGAGAAGGGAGTGTGTGAGCAAAGCGAAACCAATACCTGAACATTCATATTATTAAAATTACTGCAATTTATAAAGCCTGAAAAACTAGGGTTTATTCTATTTACAATTAAGTAGTTACAATTTACCATTTACAATTAATTTCTTAATTCTATTTACAATTAGTGATATCTAATAAGTTTAAAAAGATGCCTCTAACAGAGGCACTTATACGGATATTTATAGAAATAAACAAGCCTAATCCAGAGCCAAAAATAACATCATTTACGTGATGCCTGTTGTCGGTGATTCGAGTGACGAGAACGAACAAAGTCCTAAAAAACTTTGCTTTCTTAGAAAAATTAGACATCATCTCTTCACAACTCTTCGCCTTTGCAAGTAAGTTTTGTATCTGTTAAAATTTACAAACTAACCATCCCATAACCAACAATCCCATTAAAACCGTCACACCCTCGATAAGTCTTGTGAAGCCGGCTCGAGCGACACGATAAAGGTAGAAGACAATGTAGACCGCGTAGAAAGCCGCTGCGGCAGCATGACCTGATGGAAACGATGAACGAGCATTTCGTATCCGAATTGGGTCACCCGTGCAATGAGCATCTAAAATAAATGATCAACGTGGATAAGATTTTAACCAGATTTTTAAATAGATAACTCTTTTTAGAGCTCAATTGTTCAATTTGTTACAGAACTTGAAGCTTTAAATCTACAATTAATCTTACTTTTGATAGAAGATTAAAAATCAAAATTCTAAAGATTTCTTTAATAATACGTAAAAAAATCCCTGGTACAAAATTATTCTCAATCGAGCAATCGATCTTGGTCCAATCCGGCACACAAACATCAATAAAATACGGCCGCAGACGACCAAATGTGCATTTGAAAACCTGAACAGAAATAAACTTTAAGAAACCAGGACCATTCCGTTTTGTCGCGTCAATGCACAATGTTTTAAATGCTCAATATCTATTACTTTTAACATTACGACTTGCATATTTCAAAAATATACCTTTTTTTAGGATGTAAACAAAACTAACCTCCATAACCGATATGCAAATGCTGAAACCGATGATGAACTTCAAATATTCAAATGTACACGATCGTACCCATTTTGGCAACAAATTGACCCCTTGAGAGAGACGAAAAAGTAGTGTTTCAGCAACACCTAAGAGAAAACGTAACGTGTTGACAAACAAATGTTGTTACTCTAGGTTTATTTTAAAAGTCTACAATGTTTAAAGGAATATTCAGCTGCTCTAAAAGCTTTTCGGCTACTTAGGAACTTTTTAAATTATTAAAGAAAGAAATTAAAAAGTTTTGCTTTTACTGAGCTGCACTTAATTTAACTTACAAATGATCAGCGGTGTTGTCCCAATAATTGTAGCGATGAGTGCTCCCGGTGAAATTGTGTTCGGCCTCCATGGGTGTCGAATCGTTGCATCGTTGCAATAGAACCCGAGCTCGACTGGATTGATGAAATATCTAAATTTTAAGTTTAACATAAATAACAAATAAGTATCATAGAAAGCTGGTTGTATCAAAAAGTTAAAGTAAAGTACTGGTTAAATTAAAGTATCATAGAAAGCTGGTTGTATCAAAAAGTTAAAGTAAAGTACTGGTTAAATTAAAGTATCATAGAAAGCTGGTTGATAAGTTTACAGATTCATTTAAAACTCTAGATTAATCAAATGAATTTTTCACGAAGTTTATGTTTAAAATCATAACAGCTTACTAATTTATTTACATCTACAAGCTTTACGTTAAAACTGCATGAATGAATGAAACTGCATGAATGTACGAACTTAAACTTATGAATCTTGTTAATAATTTTATTTAACAAGAACAGAATCTTGCAATTGATTCTGAAAAATAAAGAAACTAACCCCTTGAACGTTTTATAGACAACGTAGCCAACTATCGTTGAAATGAGGACATCGATGACCGCGAGGAAACCACCAAGAAGAAACGTTCGTCGCCAATCGGCAGCAACCTCGTCTCGTCGGTTAAAATATCGACCGCTCAACGTCACCCGATCGAAAGGCATCACTGAAAAGAGAAAAATGTATTGAAAATTTAAAGAAAGAAAAAGAGTATAGTAAACAAGGCGTTAAAATTTCTAACAACAAAAGTTGACTGACTAAGGGGTAGGCTAGTTTCCGAAATTTTTTTTTCCGCAACAGGGTCATTTGCGCAACTCGCCATAACATTTTTCTAAGTCGACCAATCTTTATGATTTTGGTTTCATTTTGTAGATCTCAATAAGTGCAACAAAATGAAACCAAAATCATAAAGATTCGTCCACTTAGAAGAAGGTTATTGGCGAGTTACGCAAAAGACTTTTTCCCGACAAATAACCCGGGTTGCAGCCAAGAAAAAATGCGGAATTATACTTTAAGCAATCGAAATTTTGATATACTTAGTGCTTAGGCCAGATGAATCTTTACTAGAGTGTTCTGGATACACCTTTACGGGGTAGGTTAGTTTCCGCAATTTTTTTGCGCAAATCTCATTTTTTTCTAAAGTCGACTAGTACTTTAAGATTTTGCGTCTTTTGTAGATCTCGATAAGTAGAATAAGATGACACCAAAATCAGGGCAATTATTGAACTTAAGAGCGCATTTAAGCAAACAACCAGCCACAAATAACTCTGTTGCAAAGCAAACTCCGCAACTCTCCCGCCACCGTCATTATGGGGGTGGGTACTAACAGAATGTTACGGAGGTTGAGATTTTTTAGGATTTTCGCTTTTATAGCAACTCAAAATTAATAAGATATTTAGTCAAACAACAAAATAAATCAAACACAACTTTGTTATTCAATAAATTTTTATTTAAAGTCAATTTTTGACTTTAAACCTTTGCAGTGAGTCATTTTTGTTAGCAAAATTACAAGATCTTGTAAAATATTCCAGCGATCTCACAATGATCATTCCTCCTCCAATTCCAAACAATTTATCCTATCACTAACCAAACACTAACACTAGCTATCACAATCGATGAAATTGAGCAAGATTTTGAGGCTTTTGGCATGATAATGTCAAATTTTAGAACAAAAATAATAAACAATAAGAATAAACCAAGTTATGTATTTAGGCAAGAGTGATTCGTTGACCGGCTCGAAATTCGGCTGTTTGCTCTCTTCGTGGTTTTGGACGGGACTCGTTGTGCACCTCGATGACGTCATTCATTGTGATTGATGGCTCGGCATCTGAACGTTTGGGAGTTCGTTTTTAAAGTCAGTTTTGTTTCGTTTTTAAACTGAGATCACTACATTCGTGTTTACTTGGGCAAACTAATCGCTAGAATTTTTGCAAAGCTGGATTAATGAAGTCAATTTTAAAGTTATCTAGGCCTTTCCTTTGATATTTGATATAAGCTTACGAGATTATTAGAAATTTAAAGCTAAAGCTGAATGTAGAGCGCTATAAATTGTGAACCGTGTACTCTGAACTAATATTTCCTAAAACGCGTCAACTTTCGAAAGTACCGTAGTCTCCTATCAAAGAAGGTAAACTGATAATGAGGGACTATTATATAGCGCTGTTCAAAGCGCCGTTCAAGAGAGCGCTGTTCAAAAGAGCGCTGTTCAAAAGAGCGCCGTTCAAAAGAGCGCCGTTCAAGAGAGCGCCGTTCAAGAGAGCGCCACTATATTTCTATTTGTCTTAATTCAGGACATTACTACTAACTCTTCGGCTTAATATGTTGCCACAAAACTGGATGTGCAAGAAGTCTGAGAAAATGGTTGAAACGGCAAGAAATCTGCAAAAAACATTGGCTCAATTAAATCCAAAATAGTTTCGCAGTTTGCTCTTCCCATTGGACAAGGAAGTTGGTTATCAGAAATGGCGCCTTAGGAAGATCGCATATTGAACATCTTAAATCTCTATCTCTATCATTTTCATTTTCAATACCAATCTCTGTCATTCATCGATTTTAAATCTTGTTATCATTTTTGTTATTCTATTAAATTGTTAAAAGAATTCATTATAAATATTTAAAATCAATACAGGAGTTTTAAAGAAAAGAACAAGAAAGAAAAGGTTAAAATTCAGTTAGTGGTTGAATTTAATAAGACTTAAGGCTTAGAGCTTGGCGAGCTTGGAGAGCTTGGCGAGCTTGGAGAGCTTGGCGAGCTTGGAGAGCTTGGCGAGCTTGGAGAGCTTGGCGAGCTTGGAGAGCTTGGCGAGCTTGGAGAGCTTGGCGAGCTTGGAGAGCTTGGCGAGCTTGGAGAGCTTGGCGAGCTTGGAGAGCTTGGCGAGCTTGGAGAGCTTGGCGAGCTTGGAGAGCTTGGCGAGCTTGGAGAGCTTGGCGAGCTTGGAGAGCTTGGCGAGCTTGGCGCTCTATTGGCGGCGCTTTTTGAACAGTGCTTTTTTGAACGGCGCTTTTTTTGCAGCGCTTTTTGAACGGCACTCTTTTGGCTGAGCTCTTTTGATAGTCCCGATAATGATAATGACAACATAGCAGTAGTCGCCACGTTTTAGAAACCATTTCTAAAACACTCTCTAACCCAAACACCAGTCTTACCTTTGGCTTTTCTACGGCTTGCCAAGAAATGCGCATTCAACATCCATGCATTCAAATCAGCTCCCGTCCATCCATCGCTCATCGACGAGAGTTTTGCAAGATTAAACTCTCCATCATGTTTGATCTTTTGTAGCACGATAGAGAGAATTTCTTCACGATCTTCCTCAAATTTTTTACTATAATAAAATCTCTGATCTCTTTGGAGCTTACTTGATTTGGCAAGCCACAAATCAACTTATGATCGAAACGGCCTGGTCTCCAAAAGTGCCGGATCGATGAGATCCACACGAGATGTGCATCCAAGCACGAACACACCTAAATCTCATTCTTGGCCATATATTTGTTTACTTTGTGTACTTTGTGCTTGTGAAAGCACTCTATCTGCACTGAATTTTGCATTCTCTTCGCACTGTGCTAGCTAGGGTACGTTTTGCACAAAGTACACAAATCTTTTCGCAATCACTAACCATTCAATCCTTCAGCTCCATCAATTTCAGTCAATAATTGATTAACGACTCGATCAGTGACTCCTGTGTTGTCAGCTCCTCTCCTAGGCGCTAATGAGTCCAATTCGTCAAAGATCAAGACACAAGGAGCGCTCGATCTTGCTCTAAATTATAATAATTCTTGAACACTAAGATTTAAAGCTGAATTTGAAAGTGTATCCGTTTATTGACCAGATAAAATATGACATTGTTACTTTAGAGTCAATTTGGCAAGAGCTGGGTTGTTAATTGTAAGTTGCTACCGTAAATACTGTAATTGGACCCTTACCCCCGCGTACAGCCGCGTAGTCGCAAAAGTTTTTTAGTATTTCATTTTTTGCAAAGCACCCGTACTTTCAAAAAATGCGTCTTTGGTATCAAAAAATAGTCCTGAATTTCAGCTATTTTTTGATACCTAAGCGCGCATTGTAACATAAACCAGTGTCGAGAAAAATGCGTCCAAAGCTAGACTACGCAACGCTCCGCACCGTCATTATGGGGGTGGGGTACTATTACAGTACTTACGGTAATTGTAAGTTGCTAGTTTTAAGCTGCTAATAGTAAGCTGTTAGTTGTAAGCTGCTAGTTATAAGCTGCTAGCTATAAGCTGCTAATAGTAAGCTGTTAGTTATAGGCTGCTAATAGTAAGCTGCTAGTTGTAAGCTGCTAATAGTGAACTACTAATAGTAAGCTGCTAATAGTAAGCTGCTAATTGTAAGCTGTTAGTTGTAAGCTGCTAGTTATAAACTGCTAATAGTAAACTACTAATAGTAACCTGCTAATAGTATACTACTAATAGTAAACTACTAATAGTAAATTGCTAATTGTAAGTAATCAAGTAAAGTAACTAAATCAAAGCCTGAACAGCTAGAAATCAATATATAGCTTCGGGAAACCCGGTACCAATTTTCTCACCTCGCAAACGCATTTCTCACATTCTCTTCACTACTTCCAATGTATTTCGATAGAAGTTCAGGTCCCTAAAAAGAGCAAATTTGTTTTTTTCCCTAAATATAGCATTTTTTTGGAAGTTTTTAATACAATACCTTAATAAAAATAGTCTGAAATTTGGTGTGTGCAGCAAATGCTTTTGCAAGAATCGTTTTTCCGCAACCGGACGGTCCACACAAAAGAACCCCACGTCCCATCCGAACACCACAACGGGCAAACAAGTCTGCGTACTAAATTTCCAAAGTTTTCTACTAGTTTTCTACTTTCTACTTTCTTATTTCTTCTCTTTTTTTCTTTTTTTTTTTTTTTTCTTTTTTTTTCTTTTAGTTTTCTACTAGTTTTCTACTTGTTCTTTTCACCGTTTTGTTCTTTTAAATATCCCTATTGTTTAGCTCAAACCTTTTCCCTTTTTGTTTCTATGGTAATTGAGAGTCAAAAGACGATGAAAGAGAGTATTTTCGGTACAACTTTTGATTTGAACGAGTTTTTTTTTCGATTTTAGCCGATTTTAGCCGATTTTAGCCGATTTTAGCCGATTTTAGCCGATTTTAGCCGATTTTAGCCGTTTTTAGCCGATTTTAGCCGACTAAAAGATTTCTAGAGTTTTAAATTCTTGTGAAAGATACACTACTGGATAATGAAATATCATATTTGAAAAACGATCATCACTTTCGCGCGTCTGTAACTCCCTTGTCTTTACCGTATTTCTAAATATAAATATTACCATTGTGTAGCCCTTGAAAAGAGCTTTCAGAAAATGTATAACACTAATAGTTTAAACTCAAAGACAAGGGAGTTACAGACGCGCGAAAGTGACGATCGAAAAACGATCGTTTTTCAAATATGATATTTCATTGTACGTTGTACTTTGTGCTTAAGCATATTATAGAAACATTCTTTATCTAGCAAAGGGAGAAATTGTTGCCAAGTCGTTAGTCTAAAGAATAATGAAAACTTGCCTTAGCTGGCCATAACAGCAACTCTTCCAAAGTTCTCTTTTGCTCTCTCATCCCTCCCACATCACTCAATTTCATTTCCCATTCACCAGCACTCGTTTCTGCGAGATTTCCTGATGTGATCGCTCT